AGAATGGGTCACAGAAATCTGGTATACAAAGATATAGCAGGAGGTAGAGATTGCCTGGATGTGGGTGGGGGAAAGGAGGAAGAAATATGAAGGAGAAATAGGATAAGTCCCAGGTGACAGGCCGGATTGAATGAGTAAAATGGTACTGTTATGTATAAAATGACAGAGAATGTGAGAATTAGGAAGGTTTAGAGAAATAAGATTAAGAGCCCTGATTCTCCCATTTTACTTTCTGGGCTTTGGGTGTCCTTTACATCTTTGTAAAATGTGATTATTGGATTTATATCCACTTTTCATTGCGGTGTCACATTTAAGTTGACAGTGAACCATCTGGAAAGACATATCAGACACAGTTACAATGCCTGACTGATAGTGGGGAAGAGAAGTCAGGAATGATAAGGGTGATTTGTGAGTCATCAACTTAAAGTTGATGCTGGAGAAGCAGATTAAAATGACCAAAAGTAAAGACTTTAGGTAAGAAAGGGAGACAGCCAGTGACAGAGCCACCTGTGTACTTCCCTGGGCAAATATAGGGGACAGAGGAAGAGATGGAGAAATTGAGAACCCAGGCGTAGGATCTGTGGCAGAATACCATCTGTCTGTCTCCCCAAACTCTGCTATCTGACAATTTAGTTACCATGTTCACTGCAGAGGGAAGACTCCTCTGGTCCCATCTGCTTCAGGTAACCCTGAGTTGTAGCCTGAGCTGGATACATTCCTGAGGGAGGAGGAAGCCTGCTCCATCTGCCTACATGACTGGTATCACATACCTGAGTGAGGGACTTAAGCTCCCTATTGTTCTAAGCAAAAGCCAACATGACTGGGAGGGGGCTAAAGTCCCTGCCAATTTACCTGGCAACCAGTGATGCACTTAAAATTGGATGGATGGCAGCAGCCAACCATTGCTGGCTTTCATTGGATCAGGTAAATGAGGTCATAGGGGCTATATAAGTAAAGGACTGCCGAGGAGAAGGGGAAGCAGCCATGATGAAACTCAGAGAGAAGCTGGACCATCTGGAACCCACTCTATCTTGAAACTCATGATGAATGAACTGCTTGCCTCCAGAGGGAATCTTCACAGGCCCCTGGATGATACTTGTGAGTAAGCTATCTGAGATCTAACTAGATATATAGCTTGCAGTAATTCAGACGTGTGATCAAAGGCTACCTTGCCACTGTTTCTCTAATAGTGCTGTACCCTGTACCGTATTCCAAACCTGCTCCTTTTAACCAATAAATTTCTCCTTTGTATCTCCATGGGAGATTTATTGAGAGAGTCTAGAGTATGCCTTGGGGTCCCTTCAGTTTGGCTGACTAAAGGAGACCACTATTTGTGCTTCAGACTGAGGGAAGCACCCCAAGTTCTTGCAGTGGGTCAGGTACCTTCAAGGACTACTAGGTCTGTGTTTCTCAAATGGTGCAGGTCTCAGATCAGTCCAGATTCTGGGTGGTGGTGGCGTTACCCCCAGGCTTGTAGGTATGCTCCAGAAAGGGGGTGGACCAGATGTGAGGCACCCCAAGGGAGGCACTCGGAGCCTGAAAGGTGGTCGGGCACAATGAGGTGGGTGGCTCAATGCAGAAGCACCCCCTACTGGACTGCCACACAATCTTCCAGAGTTAAGAGATTTGGGAAGAGGGTGGAATGATGGTATGAAGAGGGAGAGGTAGTTACCCATATTAATCTGAAGTCCAGCAGAAGACAGGGTAGATTTGAGCCTTATGGACTAATTAAAATGGAGATGCATAAACTTTCAACAGCAGCAGCTTACTTCATCTGATTCTATGAAGGGGATCATTGAGTATAAAGTGGATCATAGAAATCAAAGAAAGTTATGATGGAGCAGACAGCCTTAGAAAGAGTCTTTTAGGAAGGGAAAAAGGGAGAGTGAACAGTTTCATTAGAATGAGGTCAACAGAAGTCAGACTGGAAAAGACAAGGCATTCAGGGGAATAACTAAAGATTGGATATTTAATATAGTTATGGTTTAGGGAAAGAAATGGGAAGGGAAAGTATTCCCAACTCTTGAGACAAAATGTTTCCAGACAAACTCAAAAAAATATTAGATGTCCCTATAGAAAGACTTGTAAAATCATCACAAATGTCACTAGATAGTTCACCAGGATTACCCATAGTAAATTGTTAAAAGATCCTTAATAGATCAAAAAGTTTAGTGCAAAGTTAGCAACACTGAATGGAAGGCAATACTTGGAGAAGTAGGTAGGGTCAGGGCTGGCTTTTTGTGTGTGTGAGAGAAGAAAACCAAGTAGGCTTGTTTTCTGAATTTTCTGTTTTTGGAAGGTTGAACAGGAAGGCAAAGGAATAAATATGTGCAGAGGCCAAAGGATGTAGTGAGCATATACAGGGCTGGGGTCAAGGGACAGGGAGAGACTCTGAGGGTCTACTTTCTGAACAAATGGAGGGAAAATAGTTAATTTAAAGTTGGAAAGCAACTTGGGTGACTGACTATGAAATGTCAGAGTTCAAGATACAGAAGAGGTATCAAATGGAATTTGGGATTGTTTAGCATCTTCATTAATGATTAGGAGGATAAGATTGAGCACAAATTTAGTGAATTTGCAGATGACACCAAGCCAGTGGAGTTGCATATACCCAGGAAGGTAAAACTAGGATTCAGAATGACCTTGGTAAACTGGAAAAATAGTTTGAAATCAATCAAATGAAATTCTGTAAGGAAAATGCGAAGTCCTACATATAGGATGGAACAATTTATACCACAAATACAGATTGCAGAATGACTGACCAGGTTACAGCATTGCAAAAAAAAAAAAAAAAAAAAAGACTTGGCTTTATAGTGGCCCATAAACTGACTATGTGCAATAGTGTGCTGTCACTGAAAAAAAATAGCAAAAAACAAAATACTAGAACTAGAATGGGGAACTAGATTTCTGCAAATGCAGACAAAGTTCTTTGAGTAGGTATGATATCTTTTATTAGCCCAACTTACTAGTTGGAAAAAAGTTCTTAATAAGCTTTTGGGGGCAGTTACCCACAAGCCACCTTAGTTGGGGGGGACACATACCCCCCCCCCAGCAACCAGTCAGCATCCGGGGTGGAGGCGGGGGAGTCCCCCTGTGGCCAATTTTGCCAACCGAGGGAAAATTCACTGACTGGGAAGCTGCTGCGGTGCTCCTGGAAGTGGCTGCAGTGCTGTGTCTAGCACTCTCACTCCCTGGCCGGCGCTCACACCCTCGTGCACCCCCTGTGTGTCGCCACTACAGTCACCCTTTTTCAGGCATGGGAAATCTATCCTGAGATTCCAAAACAGCTACAACCAAAAACCCAGATTTCTGACTGCACATGTATATTTTTTTCCTTTTAAAAACCTTATTTTAGTAGTCACATATACTATGAATACAAAATGATGAAAGACAAATTAATTTGCCTTTCATAGTTATGTAATTCCCAGAAAGGCAGTGAGGAGAAGGAATAGGAGGACCCACCCACTTTTTGCAGTAACTGGTTTTTGCAGTAATGGAAGCATGGTGGAATAGACTCTCACTTAGTCCACTTACATGCTGAATAGGTGGAATGGAATCTGGCTCTAAGTACAGCTGTCAAAAGAACAGAGGAAGGGAAATATATAAGTTTTGGCCCCTCTCACCTTTTCCTTGTCTCTTTGTTTTTAAGTAGCTGTTCTGATTACATTTTATTTATTGAGGAAAGTTACTTTTAAATTCCCATAAACTGTAATCCACAGTTTTCTAGTGCAGTATGAGAAGCAATGGTTTACTTATGCAGTACACTACTAATCATTTCCTAGAGTTGGTATCCATTGTGATCAAGATGATATCTTTTGCATAACGATGTCCATGGGAAAAATAGGATGAATACACTTTTCTGCTGAAGTTTTTTTTTAAACAGTGTTTCATGCTGAGCTCCTCCTGAGAGAATTGTAACCATGTTAGTTTTTAAGAAATATGATTCTTACAATAAATTGTTGAAGTGGAATCCCTGGGCTGATAAACTTGTGCGTTATACTTTACCTGCCATTGTAGTCTGGAGAGATGTTTAGTAAAACTCAGTATCTATACTACTGCTTAAATAGTAAGTGGATATTAAACTGAAACTTTATACATTACTTATGTACATTTATATTAAACTGAAACTGTATACATTACAGTACAGTTTCAGTACCCAGCAATATTTTCGAAGTATCTATTGACTGATATAAAAAATGATGATTTTGCTTTTATCCTTGGATAGTAGTTTGCAGAATCTCAGTCCTCAAAGCTGTCGGGTTTGTTATAATAAGAAATGCCTTTTAACTTCATTTTATAGGAGTACCGTTTTCATATCCTCTGTTCTTTCTGCTTGACAGAAATTGACATAATTTTTACTAATTTTGAAATGTCATTTTCTGGTATATATTTTTGTTATAGGATCATGCAAATACATGTTTCTTTCCTGCCTCTCCCCCAAATTCTGTAAAAGAGATCCCTAAATTACACAATTCAAATTATGTCCTTATATACATACATAGGATTGTGGGTTGATCTCCTTATAGTAAGTAAATATTATTATAATGGTATTATGCTTTTCAGCTTTTAATATACAAAGAAATATTTAAGGAACTCTATATTTTAGTGTCTCAAACAGATGATTAAGGTGCAACCTGACCACAACGTAGAACTACTTAGATAAAAAGAAGATTTCAGATAAAAAGCAATCATTAACAAACAAAAACATAAGAAAATTTAATAGTTTGATAAATTTCTCTTGAAATTAAGATACACTTTTTTTCCTTAACACTGAAGGTAATCAATCATTGAAACAAAACCTGACTTACTGTATCTTCATGCCCTGATTATGTGGTATTATGGAATAATGTACATTTTTTGCTGAGGGCCATTGCTGTTTCTAAATATTTATTAAGAAAATGAAGTAGCACAGATGCTATATGGGCATATTCATTATCTCCTTTTATTTTTACTGATTGGTTTTGTCATCAGATAAACAAAATGTGTTTTAATTTTCACAGCTACAAGATCAGATGTGTGCAGTGGGATAATAGAAAAGTTCCGGATCTTCCGCACAGAGAAAACCTATGCAGTGAAGGCTGGCAAGTGGTATTTTGAGTTTGAGGCAGCCACTGCGGGAGACATGAGGGTTGGCTGGACCAGGCCAGGCTGCCTACCAGATCAAGAACTTGGTGCAGATGAACAAGCTTTTGTCTTTGATGGTTTCAAGGTTTGTTTAGTAGAATTTCAATGATTTGCTTCATTGAAAGTAATGAAGTTGTTAATAAATGTTATTTACTTTGCTTCCTATTCCATCTGCCATTAGTTCAACTTCATATTCTGTGTTTCAGCTTTTGTTATATGAACTTTAGTTTTGTTATAATGTTTTTACTCCTCTTTAAAGGTCTGGGAGGAAGAAGAATAATATCAAAATTATAATGCATTAGACAGATACTTGGTGCTTACATAACTCTTTCCTTGAAAGGGTATTCGAGACATTGAGAAGTTAAGTGACTTAGCTAAAGTCCAGTCAGGTCATCTGTAGAGTTGGGACTAGAACCCATTTCATCCAGTTCCTACTGTAGTGCATTGCCTCTGGGAAATATCTGTGAACAGATAATAATTTTTGTTAGGCAAAATTTGATGTAAGGTTATAGGGGTGAAAAATTATAATGCTGAACATTTAACTTTCAGTGCAAATTTTGGCACTGTTTAGCACAGTTAAGCACAATTATGATAAAACAAAGCATTTTCTAGCTCCAACTTCAGTTTGAAAGAACAATGAGAAATTGAAATTGAAGGATATAAGAATATATTGGGAAGCAGGACATTCGGTTAAGTCAGCAGTTTCTTATCCTTTAGGAGAATAACATGACTCATTCAAGTGTGGCAATTAAACATATCGTTTAGTGTGAAGCCATGTGAAACCTCTGCCCAGACCGTAATTGCTACCTATACTGGTGGTGACTCATGCCTTAGTACAAAATGCATGTTATATGTATTTTGTATCTGATGACTGAATTCAGCTGACTTATTATTACAATACTTGACAGAAGTTTAACTGTACTCTTTGCAAACTTGGTTTCAGGAATAGTCATGTCTATTGTTGAGCCAACCTTACCTCAGTCCTATTATTTTGTTATTACTATGTTTTATTTGATAGTTTTGTATGATGTAATCTCAGATACCTTAAAGGTTAATTGAAATACTGCATTTCTTACACATTTGCTCAAATTAAATAAATATTCAGGGACTTCTATCATTAGTGGAATACTGAGTATCAGTCTGTCTTCTAAATCCCAAGTTCATCAGTTTCTTTGCAGCAGTTTAGACTAAGAGGATGCTGTATGCTATCCTATTTTAAGTATAAAGTTATCAACTTTATTGAGCTAACACAACAGCTGCGTACTCCTTTAGGCCATCTGTAAGCCAGTAATGAGATGAGTAATATTTTTTGTTTGACTAAATGAATGCAGTGGATTTTCCCACGTTTTAAGTTGTATTTCTTGAAGAAAACAAGATATACCCATCCTATGTGACTTACAGTAGTTCCCAACCAATTTCTAGGTGTTATTTAAGGTGTTGGTTTTGACCTATACATTCCTTAATGGTATTAGACTGCCTTTTGAGAATGGCAGTTCTCACAATACCACTCTTATAATACTACTGCAGAGGAAATCAGCTGAGGTGCCAGGAATAACTGGTCCCAGGCAATTTGCAAGGCTGTTTAGCAGCAGGCCTTTTAATTCTGGAGATCGCTTTCATCCTTGGTTAGGAAGACTTTGAGTACATTGACCTTCAGGACGTGCAGAAAGGGTTACCTGTATTCCGAAGCTTCGGAGAAAGAAATGGATGAAAATTTAGTCCTTATGGAATAGGTGAACTGGGAATGGTATATTAGTGGTATTGCTTTGTTTTACAAAATTTATAGAAGTTTTAGTAGAGGATTGCTGTTATCTATTTTGATTCAGTTGTGCTCAAAGCTCTGCCACAAAGGGCACTAATCCAAAGCTACAACATTTGTGTGTCAGTTCTCTGCAACTCCTGGGTGTAATGAATGCCCTCAGTTTCCAAAGAAACCAGCAGGAACAATATTTGTGTGCTCAGTACCCCTTTCAGGATTGGTAACTGGAGAATATCACTCTCACATTTCATAAATGTAAACAAACACATTAAAATATATTCAGAATACAGTTAAAATAGCAAATTGAACTTACATGCAGAATACAAATAACAGAGTTTTTTAAAGTAATTTTCATATAAAGGAGTATAAAGGAGATATTTAACTTTGTAATCAATACTATATTATTTTTAATCAGGCTTTTCATGAAGTTACTTCATAGAAATAAACTGTTTCTTGGGCTTGTGCTTCTAGTAAGATGAAATAGTAATTTTACAGTAATGTTAGGAGTGCTTGTACAAAATTAATTGCTAGATTTCTACAATTAAAGTCTACTTTCAATACTAAATGGCATTGTTTTGAAATGAAATGCTTGAAAGTATTAATTCTAGTACTGCGTTAAATGAGGCTGTTTATTGGTAGTCATACCACTGATGGGGAGAGGAAGACGTTCATTGTCTCTATCATTTTCTGAAATTCTTTTAAATCACTTTTAGGCCCAGCGGTGGCACCAGGGAAATGAGCATTTTGGCCGCTCTTGGCTGGCGGGGGATGTCGTGGGATGCATGGTTGACATGAATGAGCATACCATGATGTTCACCTTGAATGGTGAAATCCTGCTTGATGACTCTGGATCAGAGCTTGCATTCAAGGACTTCGAGGTTGGTGATGGTAAGTACTTTCACACTTTCTGCTGTGATGTTGTTGCTGGATTGTCTGACATTCTTTAAAGATACATTCATCCTTGTGCATGAACAACAGAGGAGAAGCATGTATGTACAGAGGAGAAGGCAGCTCTAAGTGGAAACTACCTAAATAGTTTATTTGGTTAGAAACCTTGATATTGTTTTACTCTTTTCTCCTTAGTAGAAAGGTTAAAACACATGGAAATAAAATAGCAAGTATCATATAAAATGTGATGATGGTGTTGATCATTAGCCACTGCATTTATAACATTTTGACTCTGAATTTTACTGTAGAACTTTTATTTATAGTAAGAGTATCTGTTCTGTCAATGGCTACTGTCCTGGATTCTGTGATTCCTTTACATTCCCTCCTTTACTTCCAAGGTGAAAAGCTAAATTGGCAGAGATATCATAAGCCATAAATAAATCAATCTTACCCCACCATTGTTCAAAATGCAGGAAACCTTACACAATCAGTGCTAATTTCATTATACCACTAAAGCATGATAAGGATTCCCAGAATGATTTAAGACCTGGGCTGTTGATGAAAGGAAATTCCTTTGGTGGGCAGTCCAGGGCAGGTGCAGGGTGGGCTGCGTTTGGGGCTGTCCATATAGGTTTCAGTTGGTCTGCTCTGACTGCAGTGGCCGTGGGGTGGGGTGGGCTGGGATCGGGGCTAGAGCTGTGCACTGTTGACTGTGGTGGGAAGGAGCCACAGGGCACAAGGGCTCTGGGCTCTTGTGGTGGGGAGCAGGGTGCTGACCAGCCCATGGCAGCTCCCCAGAACTGTCTGTGTGGCCTGGGGGCCTAAATAATTGCCCACCCCGATGTAGGGGCACATGTACATAATGTAATAACAGGCCTGATATAACAGAGTGCAAAGGTAGTAGTGGGAATGTTTAATTGTCATGCAGTCAATTAATTTCAGGACTGTGGTGTTGATAATGCTGGTTAACAAGTGATCCCAAGGTAAAATTACTATAGGTAAATGCATATGTTGGTGACTTCAAACATAGTTTAAAAGGAGATTGGTCAAAATGCTCCTAAGTTTATTTGAACAAATGACAATGGCAACAGACTTGCAGACAGATAAAATGAAAGAAAGCAACTGTTTCCAAATGCCTTTGTGTTGATTGTTGTTAAGGAGTTAGGGCTTTGTTACATGGTAAGTTTGGGTGGAGCCCTTAACCCCTGAACTGTCCCTATATTAACACCTGAAACTGGTTTGTGTTACATGCCCTGGATTGGGCCCACTGCCCCACCTGCCCCCTCCCCATACTTATTTGTGGCTGCCTGGATTGTCTGTCCTGGGGGAGTAAGCAGGGAAGTGTTAACCTTTTTGCCCAGCTGCTGCCCCTGCTGCTGCTCTCTGGGCTGGGTCAGCCAGAAGAAGAGCAGCAGCTGATCAGCAGCAGTGGCAGGGACCAGGCATCCAGGTTAACCCTTCCCTGACTGCTTCTCTGGGACAGATAGTGCAGATGGCCACTAATAAGTGAGGTGGGTGGACGGGGGGGACCCCAAGAGGCAGGGGGGAGCCCCAGGTGTGGAACCAGGGGAACACTGGGGAGCAGAGAGGACGCCCAGAATGGGTGGTGGGGGTGGGGGGGATTCTTACCTTTCAATCCTCCAGACTTCTGCTGGCCTGAAGCGACTGCTCCAAACTTGAGTTAGCAGTAACACTCATCAGCATTTCTGTAGCTCACAGTGTAAGATGTAGCAAGGCCCTTGGGCCTATACATTTTTTTTAAACCCAGTTTGCAAAGCCTTTAACTGTTTTCACAAAATATTTTGGGCCCTCATGTGCTTTTTTTAATTCTTGATCCTCTTTTTGTGAGTTCTAAAATTATGGATGCTCAATGCACATGGGATTATTTACTGCTCTATTTTTAATAACATTTCATTCTGATTTTGCTTTAAGGATTTGGTCTTGTAGTTAATATGAAGTAGCTCATTACAACAGAAAATGGTCTATCCTGATCTGAGCATCTGGTAATGGTACAATGACTAGAAAATGTAAAGCGGATAATGTATATTATTTGTCTAATACTTCAGTTCAGTGTATGATATGTGCATGTGCATATGCATATATTTAAGACATATATACATAAGGGTGTGAAGCAGTTAGAGTTTCCATGTAAATATTATTCCTGACATGGACCCAAAGAAGCAAGAAAATGAAGAGGTAGGCCATCTAACATTATTTAAGCTAGTTAACACATACATATTTTCCTCCATCTACAGATATGCATCGTACCATTACCACAGTTAAAGTGCATTAAAAACTGGGCTGCACAATTATGACTTAATTTCTTCTTTTTGCAGATACCCTTTTAGCAGATTATTTTTGTCTTCAACAGTATTTAGTGTGGACGCTTGGTAGCATCTATTTATTTTAAGAGTGAGTCATTTTTGTATCTATCTGCAGCTGTTCCTGAATAACTTAACATAGCTTCTTATGGAGAGATTGTGTGCTTTTAATTTTATCAACGCAAGCATGTGTGTATCTCTATGTCCCGTCAAACAGTTGTGTTTATTAGGGGTGTGCAAAATGGGCTGCATTCAATTCAGATTCAGATTTGGGCTGAATCAGGGACAGCGATTTGATTAGTTGATTCCAATCACTGTCTCCAATTCAGTTTGGCCGAATCTGAATCTGAAGATTCGATGCTCATTTGGAGAATCGGTGATGTGGCCATAGACACAGCTTGAAATGTTTTTTCTACATACCTCAAGGTACCAGGCGTGGCTTGTGAACACTTGCTGGGGCAAATAGATGTTGCGCACAAGCGGGCCCACGTGCTTGGCGGCAAACCTGGAAGTGGACCGGAAGTACTTTGGTCCCTGATTTGACTGGCCATGGGGGGACCCTGGTTGCCCCTGCCAGACCAGGAGGTATCTGTTGCTGAGATGGGAGGGTGCAGAGTGGGGAAGGCCCCCATGTGCTCACCGCTGGACCTGGAAGTGGACTGGAAGTGCTTCTCGTCTACTTCCAGGTCTGCTGTCAAGTGTGCTGGGGAGCCCCCCATGCTCCCATGTGAAGCTCCATCTGCCCCACCATTGCATCATTAACTAGCTGCCCGGTACCTTGAGGTATGTAGAAAAAACATTTAAATCTGTGTCTATGTCCAAATCACCAAATCTTTCCAAACCTCTCTGAATCGATTTGGAGAGTTCCGATTCAATTTGGAGTGATTAAAGGGTCTCCTGATTTGATTCGGATTTGGAGATTCAGCCACTGAATCGGGCTGAATCTCCACCAAATTGAATCAGGGACCAAAGCTTTGCACAGCCCTAGTGTTTATGTATACCCCGTCCCCCTTCCACTAGGTATTTGTGCACAGTGCATCAACTTTCATTTATTATGTGAATAATGTCTAAAAACTAATGGTAAGATCAGTACTGGGGAAAAAAAAAACAACCTGCCAGAACAAACACCTATGATATCTCATCTGTTTAGCATCTAACTTTCTGTCAAGATTTTTTATAGATAGTGTTTTGGGGTCATACAAATAAAAAATGGAAAGTAAAGCTTCCAAAGAAAAAATTCAGTCCCTTCCAAAGTATAAATATACAAGTAATCATTACAGACTGCCTTATATATCAACAGACCTGGCCCACTTTTGACAGGCGGTAGCAATGGGTTCAGAGTTGGAGAGAGCTGTTTTTTAAGGGTTTCAATGGACATCAGCTATGGCAGTTTTCTGCTGGCATTCTCAGACAAGATCTCTCTCAATTAAGCAGGTTCTATAACAGTACAGTATTACAGTGCAGACAATAAGATATCTGCTTACTTATTTCAAAGCCAATGATTGTGGACTGCTAGTTTACCCATAAGTATTTAATTTTCTGATGGGTATATTAGTGCTTGCACTAAATTTTTGTTTATGAGTTCTGGCCATCTAGAGAATTGTGAATAAAATGGAACAGTGCAGAGGAGCTTAGAGCAGGCTTTTACAAAGGATCTAATTCAAAGCCAGTAGAATCAATGAAAGGGTTTTCTGTTGACCTCAAAGGGTTTGGGATTAGGTCTAAAGTCTCTAACTAGGTTTAGTGGCAGGAATTAAGCATGTATTTCAATAGCTACAGTTGCAAAAATCCTGTAAGTGGCTGCAAGGAAAAAATCCTATGGGAAAAAAAACTGTCTGATTAGAAATATTTTGAATAATTCAACATGATGCTGGTTGAAAAAAATGCAGCAGTATGTTATGACACCTCCACACACACTCCTACAAACCAAAATAAATCGGTTAGGACTAATTATAAAACTTTCAGATTTGATAGCAAAGTAATTAATAAAAATGTGTTGTTATTCATTGCATATGTTTTATTCTGTTTTTCTGAATGATTATATACCAGTTAATAAAATGGTCTTGGCTGGCCAGCTGTATGATCATACCTCTATCAAAACACAATCATGAATTTTAAGAATCTAATGTAGAACAAGGTGATGCTTCATTGCATCTCCATATGCAGTATGGTCCAAAAAAGTGCTTCGTGTTTCAGAAAGGAAGTGAGGCAACACAAGGTTCATATTTCCATAGTCACATAAAGGCAATGGGCTTCTGTGATTCCTGTCAGCATTATATTATTAATTACTTATAGAATGCTGCGGATGACGTCCTCTTTGTCATGCTGTACATTGAATACAAAACCCAAGTCCCACCCATAAATGCCTATCCATAGTCCCATAGATTCAGTTTATAGAGTCAGAAGGGACCCAATGGATCACCGTGTCTGATCCCCTGCCCCTGGCAGGAAAGAGGACTGAGGTCAGATGACCCCAGCCAGGTGACT